CCCCAAAACCCCAAAACCCCAAAACCCCAAAACCCCAAAACCCCTTACCAAATTCTTATTTTTGAATTTTAAATATTTAAAGAGAAATGGAATACCGCAACTTTAATTCTACTGATTATCTACGGAGGAGGGGAATTAACTCTGAAAGGGAAGGGGCAGGCTGATATTCTCCAATCTTTAGTAATAATGACTTATACAACAAGATCAGTCATCGACTTATTCAGTCTGGAGAGACCTCTCTCAGACAAAGAGCAGAAGAACCCAAAAATGAGAATAAGGGTAAATTTGGAAATAGGAAGAAATTTGCAGCTAAATTGATATTTTGAGTGGTCAGGACGATTATGTGCAAAAGGGCTTTAAATAAAATTAAGGAATGTGAAGGAACCTCCAGGAGAAAATCCTATAGTCAAGTGAAAAGAGATCACTTAGAGATAGATTTTTAACAAAACAGGAGTACTTCAGAGGGAACATAGTTGTGCAAGGCTAAGAGAGTAAGATTTTTAATGTTAGTAATCTATAGGCCTTATAATAATGCTATCAAAACTCATAATTTTTCAAGGAATGAGCAATGAAGATTGTCTTCCCAAAGAATTAATTGTAATACTCCTTGGGAGCCTTATAAGACAGCTTCAAATAGTTCATTTCTTCAGAAAATTGAAAATTATTCATCCTATGATCATATAATGAGCTCTTCAAGACCATTCTCAATGACTTATTCAACCAATATAACTAAGCTGGGTACTTCGCAAACTCCAATATCTCAACCTCCAAATTGCGAAGAAAAATATTTTCTTCCAGTGAAAGGTAATATAGAAAAATTGGATCAAAGGGAAAGAATTAAATCTGGAGAAGGAATAATTATATGCAATTCAGGTAAGAATTATCTTTCTCCTTTATTAAAACTCATTAAACATCATTATCTCTCCTTCTATCCAGCTCTGAGAACCTAACCCCTGCTACAGAAGCCCCCAGAAAGCACTCACAGCAAAAATCCTCAAAAGAACTCACAAGTACCTCTCCTTGACCACTCTAGGCAAAAGAATCTCCACTCTAAAGCAAGATCTCAGACATAAAGACAACGTTAACAGAGCTTTAAAATAAAAACTACAAATCTCTTGAGAAGAAGTACGCCAAACAGAAATAAACTCAACCACAAACTCCTTAAGTCATACGAAAAGTACATTCAAAATTCTAAAATTTCTTCGATCAAGCGTCTTCTTTGCCACAAAGCGCGAAGCCAGCTTCGCGCTTGCTTCGCGAAGTGGAAGTTGCACGCTTGAGTTTTGAATTTTATTGAAGCGACTTTTACGAATGTCCAGAATGGACATAAGGAAGGTCAGAGTTGGCCGAAGTTTCCGAATGAGTGAGCAAGCATCTCGAAAGAATCCAGCATTTCTATGCTGGAAGACACTGAGATACAGAACTTTACTCAGTACTTCCAACCAGGGAGGGGCTTACCCTCCCTGGTTGGAAGAGAGAGTGAAGGGAAGCCATCACAGTTGGAAGCTGCAAGTAGGCTGATTTATCACACAATTTTGTATCAGACCAAAGCAGAATTTAATAAGAAAAAGTACGCATTCAAGTATTGGAAAGTTATTGCTAAGGAAATGAAAAGGCAAGAAGAAGGAATTGAAAATGATAAAGAGAATTTTGAACAAGAGAAGGGCAACATAAAGCCACGATGAGAGAAGGATGGGTTAGAGCCAAAGGTGAAAGCTCATACCAAGCAGTTCACTTTTATGAATTCTGATGATTTCAAGTATACAGGTATTCTTTAAGAGTTTATTCTTTAGCTGATCATTTAACACAGGTTTCTCTGAGTAAGAAACTGCTAAAATTTTAATTAGAATTGACTAACCAAGATCAAATGATAAATTCAGACACTCAAAGTTTATCAAAGAACAGCTACACCATAAATTCAGACCTTAGCTACTCAAAGTAAGTGTAATATCACTAAAATTCCAGAGAGGAATCAATAGCACCAGAGCTGAAAGAAGCCATTGCCTATATAAACCATATTGGGCATTCAAAACATTTGTAATTTATGATTTTCAATTTTAAGTACCTTAAAAGGGGTTTTGGGGTTTTGGGGTTTTGGGGTTTTGGGGTTTTGGGG